TTATACAGTTGTGGTATTTTAGTATTTTACGAAAGCAATAACTGATTATTTACCCTTGCTGCTCATTGCTTTGGAATCAGTTGGATGCAGGGTGTTAATAAAATATTTTTAATATAATAAATAAAATATACATAATTCAAAGAGTGCATCTACGATGTACAGAAATACAGTCAATCCTGACGGAAATAGTGGTATTGCTGGTTCATGTTCTGAAATAAAGAGTTGGTATCCATCCAAATTCTATAGAATACACTCCCACAGGTATTTCATGGGGGAAACATAGTTACAAATGGCCATTTAGCACAGAGGCAATTCCATAAAGAGTAAGATAAACTTTGTACTTTTATTTTAGTTAATGACTGAAAAATCTGCTTGCTCCCTTGGGGTACAATTTACGCTATTCCTCAGAGTGGGCCAATTTCACTCATGAACTTTTGCACCCAACAGAAAGCGTCCAGGGTAATTGGGATATCCTTTAAAGCAGGTGCAGGCCATTTTTATTTTATTTTATTTTATTTATTTTCAGTCAAGAGCACTTCCACAACTCCTACGGAACTTGCTGCTTTTGTCAGAATGACAAGGCACACATGGGGGCATGCAATGTTGTGACTCAACTACAGGGGTGGGGCTGCCCCCCACCGATGCTGCTGGAGCAACCTCTTGCTTAAAACAAAAGTAGATGGCTGGGGGCTGCAGGGGTGGGTAGAAGGTACTGACATAATTACTTTACCAGAAAGCAGGAGCAGGATTTTCAGTCTGATTTTTCTCCTTCTTTATGTTTATTTTTGAAATAAAGCCAACGATAACATTCATACACCTTTTTTTAAAACTTGGTGGGAAATCACACCAGTTATTCAGCAATTTGTCACTAAATTTCAAACACTGATTTCCAGCTCTGTGGCTGAAGTAAAGAGGCACCATTCTTCCCTTAAGAGGAAGCATAGTTATTGTGCTCCAGGCTCTTGGGGCAATAAAATCTGACTTGTGAAGAGTTTTGTGACAGCAGTGAATTGAGATTCACACTGAAACTCCAAAATACTTCAGTGACAATTGGCTGACTTTCTAAACACATACCAGACTGTATTGCTAGGATCAGCCTTACCTGTCATGGGCTGTTTAATGAAACAGAAGAAAAAAATGGACTTTAAGGCACTTCTTCCAGCAAAACCGACACATATTTCCTAGGTATAAGCACCCCCATTTACAAAAGTGGTCTGATGTCCCGTGTGAATGTGGATGTACGGTTATCCACTCCAAAAGTAAAGCAGCTTTTTGCTTATTAAAGCAGCTTTTTGCTTATAAAAAAAATGGACTTTAAGGCACTTCTTCCAGCAAAACCGACACATATTTCCTAGGTATAACCACCCCCATTTACAAAAGTGGTCTGATGTCACGTGTGAATGTGGATGTACTGTTATCCACTCCAAAAGTAAAGCAGCTTTTTGCTTATGGACAAAAAGAAAGATGTTCCTTTGCACATTAGTTAGAGTTTTGTCCTGACAGGAAATAACACTGAATCATAATCCAAACTGTAGGTAATAGACTGCCCTGCCGTTTGTGTAAGCAAGATACATTTGCCAAAGTTCCATTCAGTGATAAGATCGGACCAATTCCAAGAATAACACGATTCTAATAAACAGATTCCAAACAGCAAACAGCCTGAGCTAAAAATACACCAAGCGGCAAGTGACAGATGGTCTTTTCCTGGGTTACCCTTACCTCTGGTAATTCCAGCCTCTGAGCCACGGCCTCCAAGCATTCTTGCCCAGTGCTCTCCACAGACAGTGTGCACTCAATCACGCTGTTGTCCAATAATCGAATCCGGGTCATGAAACAGTTCTTGCTTCGGACATTATAGCGCCGTGTCCTTCGCAATTTCAGCCCAAAAGGCATGACTGCTAGGCTAAAGAAGCTATCCTTCTCCTTCTCACACCTTGGGTCTTCTTAGTAAGGAAGCTTTGAATGCTGTTCCTCTACTTCCAGCTCTTCTCCTCCAGGTCTGCAAAAGGTTGCCCATGCCAAAGGTAGATACCACAGCAATACCCTGAAAAACAGCAATGCAGAGTGTGGTTAATTTCCATGGGGAAGGAATTTTTCCTTGGGGTAGTAACAGCTGTTGGCTCTCAAACATAGTTCAGACCAATGGCCTTGGATCCCAAAAAATTCATCTGGCCAAACCCACAAACAACAATTTTCTTTGAAGAAACACGGTATGGGTACATGTCCAGCATGTTCTCTTTGAACTCGCTGTCTACTACTACTAATTTCCTTCTTCAGTTCTGGACTAGAGAAAAGAAACATACCGCTAAGGCAGAAGGATAGAAATTGAAAACAGGATTAGAAAGACTGCCAGGCTGTTTGCATCAATTGTGGTTTGCAAACAGAATTCCATCTTGGGGATGCAAGCATTCTCATAACCTGGTTGAATACTCCTTGGCCTTTTCCACTGGAGGTTAACTGAAGTTAGTACAGTGTGAAGTGGAAAACATGGCACCAAAAGTAGCCTTAACCATAATTAGCACTGACACATATCTATAATAACTTTCAATTATTATTAATGCTGATGACAGTAGGAATTAACTCTGGAGCATTTCTCAAGAGGTCTCCTTCTTAGGAACATTTAGTTGTGGAAAGCCAAAAGGTTTTATCATACAGAAAGAAGATTCCAAAAGCTAATTCATTTCTTAAAATAAGAGTTCTAACACAATCACTGGGGTAGAATGAGGCTGAAAACAACTAAGATGGTATGTGGATGTATGAGAGAACACTCCCCAGAGTGCCAAGAGTTTTTATAGATTTTTCATTCTAATTGTTGGGGGTGGTTGATGTATTGACTGTTTTATGTGCCGCCCAAGGTTGTTATTACCACATGAGTAGCTATATAAGTCTTTTTAAATCAATCAATCAATCAAATAATACAGGGTTACCACAGTACATCCCCAAGCAATCTCATCTGCATAATATTGAAATTAACTTTGCTATTTAGGCAAATCATGGGGAAGACAAGAAGAAACTGCTCTTGTAGTTTCCTGCTCCACGTAATATCTTCAAGTAGTTTCACCGGTGGGAAACAAAAGGCAGGAAAGCTGTTGGGTTTTCTTTTAAAATCTGCACCCACAGAGACTAAACAAAATTGAAGACAAGTATATAGGCCAATAAGTTATGGGTGCAATGCAACACATGTTTCTAGCCTCCATTACTATAATAAATCCTACTTCTGAGGAAACTGTTTAGGATTCCACTGGTAGTAGCCACTCCTGTTCCCCAGCTGGAGTATACTGCTGCCAGAGGTTCCAATATTTCTAATGCCCTAGCATCAGACCAGCAGCTAAGAAAATAAGACATGACTGCATTTTCCCTCTCTTATTGTCAGATCTGTTGTTTTTCTGATTGCAATTTATGGGAAAGAAATAACTGTTCTAAATTTTTCCCACAGTTGGAGCTATGGCAGAGAGGAACCTAGTCCTGTTTAGATAAAGGGATCCAACTGGGTAGAGAATGGAGTCTCACAAACAGCGCTGAACTTTATTCCCTCTGAGTGCCCTATGTTCAGATGGAGGTCTAAAGGGGACATGCACTCAGATTAGCTTGAATGAGAATAGGCTGTCTTTGTGATCCAGGACTCTAATGAAATAGGTTTCCAGATCACATGGAGGACTGTACCAACATTCAAGATGATTAGAAACACAGCTCCTCTTCAGGTCTCCACCTGATTACGTGGAGCAGAAGGATGGAAGGACAGAGTCGTGAGCACAGTCCATTCTTTACTCAGTTTGTTTGCTTGTTTGTTTATTAAATTTGTATGCCGCCCATCTCCCCCAGTGGGTGACTCTGGGAGCTCACAATAGAAGTAAAAGCCACAAACAGTTAAAAAATAAATACACCCATTCATTAATTAAAATTAATCAATTAATTAAAAAGTCAAACTACAGAAACAAGCCCTATACATAAAAACTAAAAAACATTCA